CCTACACAGAATTTTACCAGACATTTTCTTTTCTTACATAATAAATACACAGTGTTAGGAAGGCTGTCATTATAATTTAGTATGAACAATAGTCCATCACTTCTTTTCCTATGCAACCCTTAACTAATTCCATGCACCATGCACAAGTTAAATGAAGCCTTTTCTAATCAGGGTGCAGTTGTATCAATCATCTCTTACTCCATGATGAACGATGGGGCCCCTGCTCAGCTGAGTGGAAGAGAAGTGTGGCCCAGCAGAAATGTCAGGCCCACCTTCTCTTTGAATTGACAACTTTCTGTTTCTGATGCCTGTCTGCATTTTAGCAAGCCATCAAAGAGAAAGTTTGGGAGAAGAGAAAGCCGTGCTTACGCTTGATGCGCGCTAACTTGTCATGGAAAGTAAGACCACACACGCGTCCTCTTGACCCCTGAGCCAGCCATCTTTGGAGTCAAGTGAAGTCCACCTTACCCACTCCCGGTGCCTCCCACTCTTGCGCCCTCCCAGTTCAAGGGGCTCCTTTTGTTCTAGCTATATGAACCAGAAAGACACCTCAGACAGCCAACCTCAGGAGATGGTCACATCACTGGGTCTCCAGAGCACAGGGTGTGTTTCAAGGCCACAGCATAATTTCCCTCCAGTTTCCATTACTCCTGGAAAAACTCAATGGGAAAACAAATCAGGAGTTTGGGGCTTTAAAAGAAAGGTCACAGCTGAGTGTGGGGGTGCTGTCATCCCAGGGGCTCACGAGGTTGAGACATGAGGATAGCATGTTCTTCCCAGGGTACAGAACAATTTAAAGGCTGACTTGGGTTTGTAACTTAACAAGATCCTATCTCAAATGTTTAAAATATGGAGGGTAAGCTGTGACTGACTGCTAGAACAACCGCCTAACAAGTCCAAGGCCCTACATCCAATCCCCAGCTCCTCAAAAACAAACAATAATTAATTTATTAATGAATTGCAGGTCAACAAGCAGACTGTCCTTCTCTGAATGGATTCTCATAATTCATCCTTTCCCACAGGGCCTTTGACACTTTGAAAATGGACAAGTGTTGTTCTAAATCTCCTGTCTCTGCATGAAAGAACAAGTTGCTGGTGGCCTCGGCCATTTACCGACCATCACCTTTCCTAGGAACACAGACTGTTATGGCCTCAGCTAACTTTGTGTAGGTGTCACAAAGGGCAACTAGCTGTACCTGGCAACAACACAGAGCCACAGGGCCTATGGTAGAGAGGACACTGCGCCTGGACAGGAGCATGGGGTATGAGCCAAGGACCTTCATTCCTTTGTAAACCAGATGGGGAAAGACCCCCGGCTTCAGTGAGTTGCATTCACCTAGAATGACATCAAAGAGAGATGTGAAATGTGCTTTGTAAAGCACACAACCCTCTGCAGATCCAAGCGTTTGTTTGCACATGTAGCCTTGACCAAAGTCGTAGAGACTCTTCAAAGTCAGGAGAAAGGGACAAAACACAGTTCTTCAAACCTTGCAGTGCGTGGAGTCGTCTAGGGAGTTAATTCAAACCACCCTATCCATTTCCGGGGTGATTCTGATTGGAACTCCAGGCTGGGAGACACTTGGATAAGGGTTTGACTGGAAATAGGCTCCCATCCATTCATCAGATACTTGGAACACACAGAAGCCTTGGAGGACAGAAACAATTACAAGCTACGGCTGAGATGGTGAGCAACGTCAGGGCTCCATGTGGACAGAAGATAAGACGAAAGCTGTGTGCAGACGCAGGACCCGCAGCCCACAGTCACAGTCTTCCTGCTTCCCTTTGGAGCGAGAAGCCAGACAAGACTCTACTCTCCCTAGAGGGAAACTCTGGTTCCTAGCAGTGGTTAAAGCACCTGTGTGAGCGCCTCTATTCCCAAAGTGTGAGCCTCATGCCCAGGCCCTGAGGACCAATGTGGGTCATAGGAGTCTGGATCAGGCATCAGGAGAGTGTGGACTCTGCCTCTGTCTGAGAAAAGCAGGCATCTTGGAGAGTTCAGCTCAGACATGGAAAGAACAAAGGCCTCTTTGCATTCCAGAGAGTATCTGGTCTATGAGGCACCCAGGAAGCCTGAATGAGACAACTCCAGATGTGAGCAGCTGTGTGAGAAGAACAGGAGACTTAGCCTCGGAAGGTTTCACTTTGAGTCTCCTCCCCAAGGTCAGGCCCCAAGGACTCCCATCTGGAGTCCCAGCAGCGTCTTGGAGCAGAGGAAGAATGCCACCTCCTCTTTTTTCTGACACCCTACTGTCCCTTTGTATGGGTCCCAAGAACGATGACTAAAAGGCCTGGTCCAAGAGTCAGGAGGCCTGGCTTGTCATTCTGCCCCTGCCAGTAATGAACTACAAAACCATGTCTCCTTCTGTGTCATATCCGTTTCCAAAGAGGAACACCCAGGAGACTGCCATTCTCCCCAGGTACTTCACAGGGCTGACATGAGGACTCCATGGAATCCTTTGAAAAGGCAGAAGAGTATCTCTAAAATCAAGACATGAACGTGACACCTCTGAGCAAAATGCTGACCTCTGGACTGTGCCATCTGATCATGAGCCTGTGCCCCAGCTCACCGGAGAACGTTCTATCTGCTGCTCTGGTCTCCTGGTGGTGAGAAGTCACCACCACGGTGTCCTTTGCGGATAAAGACCTGTAGACGAGGCTGCTGTGCCTGTCTGCATCCCTTTGGCAGATGTGAACTCTCTCTCCAGGCCTACAGAAGCTAAAAATGCTGTGGCTTTGCCCAGCGATCTCTTACCATCCCCCCCCCAAGCCTCAGCCTGCTTGCCCAGATCTGGAGGTACCTGAGTCATCTGACCCCAACCCATTCATGTGACATCTTTGTTCGCTGTTACATTGACTTGAGAGAGGAAAAAAATACCTCAACCAGGAAATATATCTTGTAGAGGTATTTCATCCTCCCGTCACGTGGTGCTGGAATATCGCTTTAAAGAACATTCTTGTGGCGTTTCCAGGTCTTTCCCTTTAGTTCTGCCACGGGAGGAGCTGGTCCGAGGGGAAACTGCTCCCCAGCAGAGCCGATCTTCAAAGGGACTTCTTCGGGCAGGAAGAGGGAATGTCTGATATTGTGGCTGAATAAACAGACTCATCAAGCTCAGAGCCAGCTTGGAAAGCTAGGCCCTCTGAGTCTGCCGTCTGCCAGCCCCGCACGGCGCATGGCTACGGCTCTATCTGTAAGGCCCTTGTGTCTCCCTCTCCCACTCTACAGTCTTCTTCACCAAATGCCGTAGCGTAGCTGATTGTGCAATGATCACTTTCCTTACTATTTGTAGGCTACCCTAACATAATAGGCTCTGCACATCTCAACGAGGCAGATCACACTGTCTTGCAATCTCTTCCACAGCCCACAGTCATCAGCCTCCCACAACTGTAAAGGGAGATTAGCCTGGGACAGTGATACACACTCAAGATTCACGTTCCAAGGACACTGAGACAGAAGGGTCACCAAGAGGTCAAGGTCATCCTCTGCTACTTAGTGAATTCTAAGGCAAAGACTGTTAAAACAAAGCAGATTATATGGATGGCTCATAACACACTGTATGTCAGCCCTAGGCAGATCACTGGCAGAATCCTAAGCCTTACAGGATTCCAAAGAACTCCTTTTCCGAAACAAACAACAACACCTACAAATCCACACACTCCGAAAGACAACTGTCTCCCCTGTCCCCTGAAATGGTTCAGGGTCCCGCAATCTAGCCTAAACCTTTTCAAACCATCAGTTTTTCCATTGACAAGCTGCTCCCGAGCAAAATTCCAAGCCCCAGGTCACAGCAGGGATTAGGCTTAGAGACCGGAATTTCTCTTTTCCGTCCTGGAAAATTTGGGATTTTCTTTTAGCACTAAATAAGCACCAAAAGATGCCGTGGCTATTCCGAAAACCCGGATATTAACGCATGACTTTTGTTATGTGTGCATCCACGTATACACTCCTGGACACAGACACTCCATGAATTTCCCATCTCAAAATTTCAGCCCCATCAGAATTTGTTTCTGAAATTCTGAAATTTACGTTTGCTCTAAATACCCTGATATTTATTTATTATATTTCCTTGTGGGAAATATTCTGAAAGACACACATTCTTGGGAGGGTTTAGAAAACTCTCCAGAACCTAAGTTTCAAATGAAAGTTCATTTCCTCTAATTAATTCATCCCTTATACAACTGGCTATCATGGCTGTGTTATCCTACTTCCTGGCTGAGCCCTGTCCTGTTCTAGCAGAAATAATAGGAGAAAGTCATATCTATATCTGGATAATATGGATATCTGGGATCCAAAGCAGTTTTAATTTTCTCCCAATAGCAGGCAGTTAGGTCACCCTTCAGTCAAGTATCCCCCAATCTGCCATCAACACAGCTGCTGCCTTCCTAAGTGCCAACTAGGGCCGTGAATGGTGCTTCCTGGCTATAATCCCCTCAAGAAGGACACTGAGAAAGGAGGCTTGCATTGAGTTCAAGGCCAGCCCGGGCTACAGCAAGACTGCCTCAAGTAAAATAAAATTAAAATAGAAAAACAAAAGACTATTCGGGCTCCCTAGGATGATCAACATATTCAGGGTGTCTGTTTATTAGTGGTCATCATGAGTATTGTCAAGGAATCACAAGGATCAGGTCACTGTGTCCCCCCTCACTGACCCAGCCTAACAGCCAAGCATGCACCAAGTAGTCCACGTACCTCACCATTTTATAAAGCCATATTGTGTCTAAAATATCCCAGCTCAGCCACTCCGGTACTGGCTGACAAATTCCCAGGTATTTAGAAGAGACCAATGATTAGATTTTTCGTTTTTTAACTGATTTCTGTATAGGTGGCATCATCAATCGCCCGTCAGATGAAGAACAAAGGTCGGAGACTGTTTGTAGCCAGGCATTCTCAGATGCGCCCCCTCCACCCAGCGTGGAGCAGGCTCTCCTTGTGCAACCACGGACGCAAACATCCCTTAGGCGTGGAGAGAGGGACAAGGTGGGAGGCATTGGTTTTTGCTCACCTTTGGCCAGGCTTTATTTGTTCTACAGATAAAAAAATAACTTTGGACTTCTTTATCCAGCCAGTCATCTTGCATCGGCAGTGAACTCCCTCAAAACTTTCTGTTCCCGTCAGACTCCTGAGAAAACAAAACGGAAAAAATAAAAGCACGGTTAAAATCTACTTTCTTTGGTCAACATCCTAGCATTGAGCAATTTCTTGACATCTAAAAGGGACTGTCCTGGAGTCTGACTGGAAGTGAACTCTCTATTGATCAAATGGCTGGGGCCAGGAACCACTGGAGAAGGGAAGCTGAGCTTGCAGACCCTTGTCCTATGTCACCTCCCATTTCTCCCCTCAGCCTCATCAGGACTTTTTTTCCCTTTTGAAAATAGGGATCTTTGGAGGTTTAGACCATACACTTCTACCAACAATAAAATGTTAAATTTAGTTTAATTTACAAACTGCACATTTATTAACCTGTTCTGAACACAGAGAACACAGGAACACAGGAATGTTAACGCCTGTGCTCAGGTGTGCGATTTCACACGGAACCCATACATATGGAGGATTATTGCATGGCAACTCAAAAGAAGCACGTGCCAAAATTTAAGGTGAAATTAAAATGAACACAAATGGGCTTAACGTCTTATTTCTCACACCAATGAAATGCTCGGAATTCCCCTGAGGTAGAGAGACCTTACTTCTGCATCCATCACTTTTAAAATGTGGGCATCTATCGTTCTGTCCTGTCAAGCACCGCTCCGCCCTTATAAAAACCTGTGTTTGTGGAAAGATCCGCTGCCTGTCATGACGGGTGTCTGTGAACAAGGCCGTAGCGTGGCATTCACAATTTAAGTACGAGGATAATTATGAGAAGAAAGCTGTATTTTACATTAATATCAGAAGTACCCAAAAATTCAGGGTATTGGAGCAGCGAGGGGTTGCCTAGTGGCCCTGATCTCAGACCTCCTCCTCGCCAGATGTGCTGCAGCAGCCCCGCACTCTCCAGACAGAAACATTTAGCCACCATCCAGTGGCTACAAGAGAAAAGGGAGGGTGGCTTACAGGCTAAAGGGCTTCTAGGAAGTTAACATTTGATTTCTACTCAAGGGTTATATTCCTTTAAGAATTCAGGAGGGGGACAGGGCCCTGACAGCCCCGACAGAGGCAGAAGCACGGTCCTCTGCACCCTGCCTATTCCATCCCCAAGGAAGGCCCCGATGAATTAATTCTCCTAGGTCTGCACAGAGATTCCAGGACCCTGTAGCTTTACGTTGAGGGATTAAAGACTTCCACAACACAAGAGGAAAAACAGATATTTGGGGGGCTCAAATAATGGCAAGTTCTTACATATTCAGAGATTTATGCCTGCTATAAATAAATGCAAAAACTGTCCCGGAGCATAAAATGAATAGTTATCTGATTTTCATATTTGTGATCGCAAGCTGGAGATCTTTTACAATGACAGTATTCCTTAGGAGTATGTGTATATTCAGTTCACCAGATCATCTCTAAAGGTTCAGCTTGACTTTGACCCACAAAACAAACGGAGACAGAGAGAATGGATCCAGAATTGAGACGCTTCTTCAGAAGTTTGTATGCACAGTTCTGTATGTATCCATATCAGTTGCATACATATATGTGTACTTATGTACACATTTGCATGTGAAGAGAAGTCCCTGCCGTGACCATTCATCTAAGAAAATCATGTACCTTCGAAACACTATACAGTGATTCTCCAGCAGGTACTGAATAATACAACAGAACACATAGCATGGACCGGAGAAATTACTCAGCAGTTACGAGCACCTACTACTCTTACAGAGGATCAGGTCCCAGTGCTCATTGGGGTGGCTCATAACTGCCTATACCCCAGCTCCAGGAGGATCCCTGCACTCACGTGCACAAACCCACCCACGGACACGCACATGTACATAATTAAAAATGAAATAGATAGGGACTAAAGAGATGACTCAGTAGTTAAGAGAATTTCTTGTTTATCCAGAGGACTTGGGTTTGGTTTCCAGCAACCACGTGGTGACTCACAACCCTCTATAATTCCAGTTCTAAGAGATCGGATGCTCTCTTCTGATCACTACAAGTTTTAGCCATGCATGTGGTACACACACATACGTTCTTTCTCACAAAATACTCAGACACATAAAATAAAAGAAATACGTTTTTAAAAATTAAATATTTTCAAACAGCAAACGAGCATGTACTAGCAGAGTGAAGAATTGCATATAACTAAAGTCAGATTATTGCAAATCTCCAGTTTAAAAAAAAAGGCTTTTCAGATAAGCAAAGATGTATTCAAAATGGAAGGACTTCACACTGGCAAATCATACCCACATATACAACCCTCACAGATATGAGGAAAGAACTGGTCCTGCAGCACCAGCCATGAGGTTAGAGTTAGAAACTCACAGAAGACAAGTGATGTGATGGGCCAGAATTCAGTCTTGCCTGAAACATTCTGGCAAACAAGGAAAACTATGTTGTTGTTGTTGTTGTTGTTGTTGTTGTCCACTTAAAACATCCAAAAATATGCTTTCACCCACAGGAGACAACGCCTCAGAAGGCACAGGACTGACAGAGGTCCCGGGAATTCTACCTCTCTTGCACCTTCCCAGGCACTGACCTTTGTTTCTGAAATGTCAAGACATCTCTTAAGTCATCATGAGCCTATTCTCCCAGCCCCTCAGAGTGCCACCCTCAAATGGACAGCAACGGTGCCAAAAGTGATAAGACCTGGGAATTGCTGAGTGGCACCAACTCTTCTGTCAACACAGCTGACCTGAAATCTGACCTTGATCCCCTTCCTTTAACGGTGCAGAGGAGAGGCACACGGAGACAAACCGTTCATCAGCTGCTCCCCCAGGCAGGAGTCTCAGGTGGGAACGGATGCTGATTCTGCCTCTCTTGACTGTCTAAACTCAACATCTCCATTCATGATTGTCTCCAGCTGTTCCAAAGAACACAAAGACAGATGTGCTAGGGAGAACAGAAACTCAACAGGGAGAAGGCTGACTTTTCGGCTTCTTCAATAATCCCTGTTATGAGCCAAAGAAGCTAGTTTGAACCCCCAAATATAGCACTAATTTTCCATTCTGTCAAACCACAGTGAGCACTTCAGTGTTGCCCAAACTTTTAAGGCTTTGTTGTGGCTTGTGAATGAATCAGAGCAGCAAGGTGTTCATCGGGTGAGGGGTCAGATACATACAGATGCCTTTCCCTTGTCACTGAGAAAGTCAGAAGTAATCAGAATAGTTGGTTTGCCCATTTCATGAGCAAACACTCTTAGTGTTCATAGTTACTGCTCAGCTCTTAGTTATGAAGACTGTCTGGTGAAACACAAGCTGAGTTTAAACCTTCATGAGTCCCAATCTATGGGTAAAGCACTTCAGTACTGAGCATGGCCCCTGTCACACACGGGACATCTGTGATTGTGTCTCATTAAGATGACCATGTCAAGTATTTATTTCAAGGCACAAGCCATTCCCCTGTGTTAAGGCAGAATCTATTCCTCTAAGCCTTGGAATATGGGTTCACCAGTGTAATTCTTCACACATGGGAGAGGGAAGAAATGATCACATGACTTTCAGGGAGATATTTTAGAATTTTTGCAACATCCACCCAAATGTCTCAGGACATTGGCTCTAGAAGAAACTGATCACAATATGAAAATCTGGTGACTCAAAGACCACCAAAACACAAGGAAATCTAAGCTAACCATGTAGACAGAGAGTTCTGATTAGTCCAAGGCCAAAAATACAAATGACATTGCTCTAGCCTCAGCCACCATCTGACTATGAACACATGAGACTCCAAGTAAGAGCTGCCCAGCTGAGCTGTCAACCCAAGAACCACGAGTAATACAATACATTCCCTTATTGTCGCTACACTTAGAATACTTTATCAACAGCAATGCTGGGTAGCTGAAACAGGTTTCTATAGCTATTAAATAAGTACACAGGCTGGGAAAACAGGCTACTTAGAAAAAAAGGATCACTAAGCATATCTAATGAAATCTACCAAAGGCATTATGTAGGGGATATCAGCAGTGGTCAGGACCATTTGGAAACTGGACAGCTTTGTGGATAATTGTGGCCAAGAGGAAATCTGCTATGGAGAAAGTAACTTCTTTTTTTTGAGAGTGGAATTTTCCAAACTCACCAACCATCTCAGCAGGATTCGTTAGCTGATTGCTCAATGCTCTGATCTCCTCTTCTTTACACAGAGCAGACTCATGACTGTCCCAGCCACGATTCTAGGTACAAAGTAGACAAAACATAGCACACGAAGGAAAAGCATCGGTAGGCACAGGAAATAGGCTCCGAAGAGCTCAACCTGTTCATTTATTTTGTAAAATAGACTGTGGTCCAGGTAGCACTGTAAAACAACCAAATATAGCGGGAGATAAGCGTGGGCGGGAGTGGAAAATAGAGGCTAAATGCCGGGCACAGGCAGCTGTGACATCATAACAGCCCCCGTGATTGCACTGATATGGCCACCCCTTTATTATGACAAGCTTAATTATGACACGATCCATATCTACCAAGTCTTTGATGGTTGTAAATAAGTCTGAGTCATTCCGCCATCATTTCTACCAGAGACACAATAGCTTTAGCCTTTGGGGGTAATGAAGTAAGTAAATGCCAAGAGGATGGATTTAATCCTTGTGCCTTTTCCGTTAAAATGCAAACAAGGCCTGCCGCCCCCCCCTTCCTGAGTATCAATTTTTTATGACTGAGTAGGTCTTCTTGGTACTCAAAGACCACACCCCTCACTTAAAGAATACTTTCCACTCTATTCCAGTCTAAACCCACAAACCCCTCATGCTCAAACAGGAATTCCATCTATTACAAGAGCACAAGATTGCGCTGAGAATCAGCTGAATAAAATGTTGACACTCGTTGACCAACTTTATAAACAAACACAGTATAAAACAAACAAAAACTATGGTTGACAGTTTCTACGGATCCAGTAAGACAGAGCATCTACAAAGCATCCACCCTTTGTCTGTGTGTGCAGACAGAACCCAGCACTCAGGGGCGTCCTCACTATGAGCAGGGTAGGAAGAAACCCAGGACTCAGGGGTGTCCTCTCTATGAGCAGGGTAGGAAGAAAAGCGCCTTTCACTGAGATCTAACTTACTTGCTTTTTCTTGGCTTCTTTTAATTCTTCCATGTTAATGAAACCAATTCAAAATAATTTATTGTGTGGCATGGGGACAAGGGGTTCATGAAGATCTGTTCTCGAGAAATTTTCAAGAAAATTTGAGTTACGAAGGGCTACCCTGTTGGATGTCTCACCAGAAGGACTAAGAACAGTGAGTGTTTGACCCTCTTTTGTTGAGAGACAGCACGTACCTTCAGGGTACCTCCTGGACTGGAAGATTGCTTCGGTGGTTCAGAGCACTGGTTGATCATTCAGAGGACTGGAGTTTGATTCCCACACCCACAAGGCAGCTCACAAACATATGTAACTACAGTCCCAAGAAATCTAACAGCCTCTTCTGGCCACTTTGGGTACTGCATGCCCATTGTACATGGACATAGAATTCTAAACATAAAATAGGAATAAATAAAATCAACCTCTTTCTTAAAGGTCTGGATAGTCCATGTGACTCCCAGCTTCACTGCATGTGATTCCCCATCCTCCATTCCTGTTGCTGGCCCTCCACTCTCCTGTCATCTGTTCCTCCAGCTTGAAAAGATAGGTAGGTGATGGATGGGTAGGTTATAGATTGATGGATGGATGATAGATAAACCTATCAATCAGTAGATAGATGACAGATAGATAGATAGATGATAGATAGATAGATAGATAGATAATTTAAAATAGACAAATTTTAAATCTTCTCAGTAATACAAAGATTTCTAAGAGATGATCTGAATATTAAAAGTTTTTAAAAGGTAATAAAAATAAATTCTTTAGCAAGGTATGGCAACACATGCCTATAAATCTCAATATCCAGGACCCCCTTTTATGGAGAATTCTGCATTCAAGGCCTCTAATCTGCATAACATGGTCAACCTCAACGACATGGTAAACACTGATAAAGAGGAGGAGGAAGGAAGGGAGGGAGGGAAAAAAACTCCTTTATAATGACCTTTCTATTAGAGTGGTGTGTGTGTGTGCGTGTGTGTGTGCGTGCGTGCACATTGGCATGTAAATAATGGAATAATGGTCTGTTTGTGCCATGGCGTATATGTGGGTGTCAGAGCTGGTTCAAGTGTTTTTGGAGATGCCTGTCTCCACCTCTCGTCTCCTGTAGATGTCTGACTATTACAGACACTTGTGCTGTGGTGTCCCCAGCTTTTATGTGGCTGCTAGGGGTACAAACCTAGGTTTCCAGATTTGAGCAATAAACACTTTACCCACAATGTCATCTCCCTAGCCCATGACCTCCCTTTGTTTAAGGTCAAATAAACCCACCCTTATTGTGGCCCAAATTCCCTTGGCACCTGTTTCCCTCTGTCATTCCAGAGGACCACAGCTGGGCCACTGCTGTCTCTGTGATCATCAACTCTTAGTCTTTCTTCCATTCCTAACTTCAAGGGTTCTTGACAGATGGGCACACAAAGGACAACTTAGGTCTTACCCTGGTGCCAGGCTTGGGAAGTGGAGATAGAGAGATGCCCAGAAGAGATAGGGTTGAAAAGAGATAAGATGCTGACCATGTTAACTGAAGAATTATGGGCAAATGGACACGACGGAACTCAGAGAAGCCACTACGGTGACCTCTAATGGAAGGTGGTCCAAGTACATGAGCTGAGAAGGGACAGAAGACCTGTCTAGAATGAAGACATCTACAAGTCTGTAATCAAGTTGCTGGGGCACAGAAACAGAGAAAGAAGAACACTATAGGGGCACACGGGTAAAACGCGCTCACCCATCCCCTTTCTACTAGCCGGGTCACTGTCAACATGGCAAAGTAAGAAAGGCAAGGGACTAGGAAGACTACTGTGGTGCTAATATCCAATCTAGGGACGGGTGGCATCACCCGCTCTTGCCTATGACCACTATGTCCTCCCAGCTGCGGACATGTGCCAGAGAGCTGCCCTCTGTAGCGTTATCGACCACCACTGGTATTACACTTTTGATCCTAAATGACCCCCAAGAGCAGCCATGTTAAATCTTCAGCCCCTAGCTGATGGGTGGAGCCTAAACAGAATAAGCTAATCATTAGGGGGCAGGTCATTCAAAATGTATTGGGCTCTCAGCCTTTTCTTCTTCCTAGTTTATTTTGCTTGTCTGGATGTCCCAGCAGCACAGGAGCAGCTCCGCTCCCCAGCTCTGATGCCTCTGCTCCCCATGTGTGCACAGGGGTGGGGCTAGATGTCCCCCCGGGGAGAACCTGCAGAAACTGTGTGAGTCTAAATACGTGCTCTCTTTACAAATAGATTTTTCTTGGGCATTCTGTCAACTAAAAGATAGCCTATCTGGCTATAAATGATCAAGTGATTTTTTTTTATTTCTTTCAATGTAAGTCCACAGTCTTATTTTATAACAAACATGATTCCGGGGTTCCTGGGGAAAGAAGCTAAAATTTTTTCAAGGAAGATCAAAAGCTGAAAGTTGGTCAGTGAATAACATTTGTTTGTCTTAGGAGCAGAAAGCTCTATGAGGCCAGAAGGCAGTGTAAGGGTCTGGGCAGCAGCCTGCGCTGGATCCTGACTGTTTCAGTCTAAGTCTGTTGCCTCTCTTCCCAAATTCTATCTGTAAGAAGCAGGGGAGGGGTGTGGGGAGCAGACAGAGAAGCAGAAACAGGGGAGAGGTGTGGGGAGCAGGCACAGAAGCAGAAATAGAGGAGAGGTGTGGGGAGCAGGCAGAGAAGCAGAAGCAGAGGAGGGGTGCGGGCAGCAGGCAGATAAGCTAAAACAGGGGAGGGGTATGGGGAGTAGGCAGAGAAGCAGGGGAGGGGTGTGGGGAGCAGGCAGAGAAGCGGGGGAGTGGTGTGCAGAGCAGGTAGAGAAGCAGGGGAGGGATGTGGGGAGTGGTGTGCAGAGCAGGCAGAGTAACAGAAACAGGGGAGGGGTGTGGGAAGCAGGCAGAGAAGCAGAAGCAGGGAAAGTGAATGGGGAGCAGGCAGAGAAGCAGTAGCAGGGGAAGTGAATGGGGAGGAGGCAGAGAAGCAGGTCCAACAACCAGGCTAACCCAAGCAAGCCACCCCTCTTCTTTTCTTAGCAAAGTCTAGCCACTTTTTTTTTAACCCCAGCTTATTCAGTTCCTCACTGACTCCAGCCCCTGAGGACGGTGCCATGTTCAGGTAGGTTTAACCTTCAGATTTTAGAAGAGATGCTGTCCCCCACCCCACCAGAAAGCTGGTTCATGGCCCTTCCAGAAACAGACATGAGCTTGGAGCCCACTAAACGAGATCAGCTTCAGCTCCACCACCTACAGTGGGAGCGGAGACAACTGTGCAGTCCCCAGTCTCCTCACCTGCAGGATGGATGGTACAGGAGGGCTGTGTCGTCCCAGCGTCTTCTGGTTGCTGCTAGCAACAAGGATGACTTGAGACGGTACCGGCACCCAGTGTGTTTCCATACACGTCCTTGTCCCACCTCTCCTGGACATTTGGCGACTTGCTGCAGACAGGCTGTGACAAGGGACTTTGGTGTATTATTGAAGTGACATTCTCTAACTCCAGGGGCTGAGGAGCTTGTTGCTATCATAAACCCCCCTTTGGGTCAGACCTTTGAGTGTCGCTTACACCAGTTTGGAAATAATCTACTTGCTCACCCTTCCAGCAGAGGATGTCATCATTGGCTAATGGAAAGTGACAAGGGGGAAAGAATGAATAAGAGGGGGAAGGTTGGGGATGGGGAAAAAAGCGCCTTTCTCTTTCGGGCAATGTGGAGCACTAAGCACACCATGTTAAATCGTGCGTGTCAAATAACGGACTAATTAAGAACCTTCATCCGTTGGGGTGTGTGTGTGTGTGTGTGTGTGTGTGTGTGTGTGTGTGTGTATTTTCACATCTCATTTTTGTTGTCTTTCAAAGATTTGTTCCCAAATTAGCTTCAAGCACTCTGAATAAGTGCTAACGGGAAAGAGAAAGAAACCTTGTCCATCGGAGAAGCAAGCAGCCAACGCACAACAGAAAATACATGGAGGGCTGGGGGAGAAGTTTTATGATCATAGTAGCAACTTCTTGAATAATGGAATTTAATAGCATATAATAAACTGTGATCCAGGAGAACTCTGGTTCATTCCCACTAATTGTTCTAGCCTGTGAAATGAAGGCAAAGTTTATCATGCCAACATGCTGTTAAGACCACGGAGCACTGCAGGGAACAGGCAACTGTCCCCAATTGCCTCCCTCCTCACTCCCAGAGGGTACTGGGTCCTTGCCCTCCGAAACACCCGACCGTGCCTCCAACTTTCAATGGCAACCCCAGTTCTAAGACTTTAAAGTCACAGAAATGTAATTTTTTTTGCAATCAACAAACTATTGTATTCTGCAGAGAAGAGAAGGGCGACTAGACACAGAGCCGCCAATGAGGTTATAAAGAATAATAACTAATATGCTTTCATAGCGATGCCAAAAAGTACGAAAACCTATAATAAATTTAATTGGGCACACGATCATAAGCACTGTTTTCTACCTACAAACTTCTGCTATATTAAGCTAGACTCCAAATAGAGAAACACATTTTTTATCATTGTGATTGAAAAGTATGCTTTTTTCACTGCATTCTAATTTGGATCATTTTACCAATGTCAAAAAAAACAGGAAGGTATAATTAGGAAAAAGAAATTACTTTCTCTGTTGTTAGTCACTGGTCATGTCTAAGCGTTAAAATGAATGAAGGAATTAAAGCAATTATCTGAATAATTCAGATGCCCCCCCAAGGTCAGAGGTTTCTGATAAAAAAATATTGTCTTTGCCTGAATTAGTAAAGTAATAATCTTGGTTTTCTGCTTTATTTTCTAATTGTGGGTCTGTCTATAGGTGAAGAATCCTTTGTACTTACTTTCAAGAGTGTTCCTGACAATTAAAGAGTATATTATTTTTATGCACATACATTTTTGTGAACATCAGAAATAGCTAAGAGAATTTTGCAAAGTAGCTATTGAAATTACTGAACAAAAACAAATAAAATATTTCCTTTCCTTTCCGTGAAAAAAAAAAAGGCCAAGAAAGAAACCTTGATAGTACCACTGGGGAGCTGAGGTGGACTGAACCCACATCTATAGTGGGAGAATCCAACAGGAAAATTAGCACTGGGCACACTGTGGACAGCTAATAAAGAGAGCATGGCTCAAAGAGATTAAGGTTCAAATTAAGGTCAGAGAAGAGACGATAGAGGAAAGCTGCCATGTCCCGTCGCATGGCAGTTTAAGTGAGACGGTTCCCCCTGAATCGGGCTTGGGGTGAAAAATTACACTGTTGGGGTTAATAAAGAGGCCGGGCATTTGTTTGGACTGAGACTTCAATTAAAATGTTATTTAGGGCAGCCAGAGCTAATGTCGTGCTTAGACGTAAACCAAAATGCCTTTTGAGAAGATGAAAAAGAAAGGGGGAAAGAGAGAGAAAGAAAAAGAAGAATTGAGAGAGAGAGAGAGAGAGAGAGAGAGAGAGAGAGAGAGAGAGAGACCACCTAATCTCTCACAGGCTCTGAAAGTGGCAGGAAGAATTGTGTGAGCTGGACTGGAGCCCAGCTCAGCAGCAAGCGTTCTTGAGGGTTCTGTGACATCATCCCGGGCAGCTGAGGGCCTGTGAGTTTTTGATTGTTGTGCTGGGTGAGGAGGCTACTGTTCAGCTGAGCCTTATTTGAGACAAAGGGGAAAAATCTGGTTGATGTAATATGCCAAGTTTTTCTTTCTTTTTTTTTAAATGTTATAAAAGGGGCAGGGCCAGGAATTCTGGGTCTTAGTCACACATCCCCACGCAGAGACTAAAACTGATGAAGACAGTTAGTGAATTTTTTAGCCAATATCAATTTGCACACATTTAGACAAAAAAAAAAAAAACAGGAGGGTGGGTGCAAACCCCCCCAAGCCTTCATTCCTTCAGTATGCACCCCACATCTCACGATGATCTCTAGACATGTTTACACTGGCCAGAACTGGGCACTCTGGTCGACAAAGCATGCATGTTTCCCTGCATCGATGCAGCTTATGGTTTAAAATATGGGAGGCATTTAATAAGTTTTAAAACTACATAGCTGGAGCTGGAGAAATAGCTCAGTCAACAAAGTGGCTGCAACACCAAAATGAGGGCCAACACTTGACCCCTAGAACCCATGTAAAAACTCAGATGTGCTTATAGCCCCAGCCTCAGAGAGGCAGGAACACAAGGGTCCCTGGGCTCATTGGACAGTCACCTCACCCTACTTGGTGAGTTCTAGGCCAGGGAGCTATCCTGTCCCAAAACTAAAGAGGACAGCCCCTGAGGAAGGACATGCAAGGTTAACCTTTGGACTCTGAAACATGCTTGTACACACTAACATGCACGCATACACACACACACACATACACACAGACACACAGACACACACACACACACACACAACTTGGCATTTATAACATTAATAACCTGAGGAAGAGCGCGAATACAAATATTAGCTAACCCCAACAGCAGCTACACACAGACCTCATCACAAGGGACTTCAGACTGAGAATGCTAAGGAGGGGGGCAGATCACGTGACATTCTGCTGGGGCTTCTTGAATCTGATCATGGAGATTAGTGAAGAATCACACAGAGAGATGGGGGCCAACCAAAACAGTGTGGCTAAGAGCCAACATGAACTTGGGAGGGGGAACTTCCCCTGGAATTTCTTGTATGAACTGAATGACAGACTGACAGCTAAAGGCCTCCTGTCTTCATCTCCCCAGCTTGGAGACCGAAGGTGCGTACAGCCACACCCAGGTTTCACATGGGCACTGGGGATCCAAGTTCCAGCCCTCACCCTTATACCACAAGCACTTTGCCTACTGAGCCTTTCAGCCCCTAATCTTCAGACTATTCTTGAGAAGATAATATGGACTTAAAAATAAGAAGGGATGAGGGGGAAGTGCTAAGAGCCAGACCCAGTGACAAGATACAAAACGGAAAAGGCTTTAAATGCAGAATGCCCATAGCGAGGCCATTGCAACCAGAGCAGGAAGCCAGCTAGCTGAGAAGTCACACAACTTCCGCAGGGACCACATATTCACAGAGGCAAAATCTGCCAGGTCCAGATTGGCTTCGTCAGTCATTTAAAAATACGTATGCAGATCGCAGGAAAAAAAAATCCTACGCCCCATTGCAAAATAGTTGGTCATCAGTATAAATAGAAACCAAAGAGAACAAGGAATCTTTCAGGCACACACGACGTTTCATTCCCAGCCAGTCTCAATCTGGGTAAGAAGAAAGTATATGATTCCTTTGCTTGACAGGTATGGATGTGACCAACTCTAAACAGAGGTCAGGGTTGACCCCAGCTCATCCTGAAAACATGGCTAACACACGGCCCACATGTTCCTCGCCAGGAAAACTGGTTCCAAAAGCACAGAATTATATATTCAGCTGATACCTAACTGCAGCCTTTTTATCTTCCAGGTCTTCATTCCAGCTGTCAGAATTCTCACTTAGCAAAGGCTTCCAGGGTGTCTTCTCAGGTACCAGGCTCTGTGGCAGGTACTGGGAATTCTGCACTGAGCACCCCTCCTCCTGGCATCTGCCAACCAGTCACCTCCAGCCCTCTCTGCCCGGTCCTAGCTTCACTTGTGCCCATTTGCACTGCCTGATGTTATTAAAGAGCTACGGTCACTTCCTGCTCAGAGACTGCAGTGTAAGCTACACCAGGCAAGGACTTTGATGTCTTATATGACATCCCAACAGCTAGCCCACAGGAAGCACTTAGAGAGAATACGGCTGGATGAACAACTTCATTTTTGATCAACCATAGGCATGTGTGACCAGGGTCTCGAGATTAGGCAGCTGTCCTAGCCTGCTTTCTGTTGCTGTGATTAACAACACCTTGACAAAAAGCAGCTTGGGAAGGAGGGGCTGACTTCACCTTACAGGTTACAGTCCACCGTGAAGGGAAGACAGGGCGGGGATTTAAAGCAGTAACTGGAGCAGAGGCCAGAAGAAGCGCTCTTTCCCGGACTGTGCTCCACAACTTGCACAGATTGCCTTCTCAGACAACTAAGAACCATCTGCTCAGGGGTGGCACTGCCCACAATGGGCTGGGCCCACCCACATCAATCATCAATCAAGAAAATGCCCCCACACACTTGTCCTTGCCTATGGGTCATTCTGGCGGAGGCAATTCCTCAGCTGAGGTTCTAGCTTTCCAAATGATGCTGGATTGCATTAACTTGACCACAGCTAACCAGAAGCTGACCTTTCTCACGCAAACGAGTTTTAAATTGGACCTTGGAAAGTGAAGAAGAACTTATCTAGAGAAGGACCAGGGGGTTATTGGCCAGCATCTCTGTTACTAAAATAAAATACCTGAGGTAGGGCACTATATAAAGACAGGTTCATTTCGCTCGTGGGTTTGAAGGTGGCACATGTAGGCACGCTCCATGGCCTGGGCTCTGTGAGGGGTTTCTATGAGGCTCCCCTTCTCCTTATAAGACCATCATGCCTCATCATGGGAGAT